ATGATGATGATGATGATGATGATGATGATGATTACTACTACTACTACTACTACTACTACTACTATTATTTTCATTTAGCCACCAGGATATGTCATAAAATATAAATGATAGGTTTTTACTTGGTTTTACATGTAACTTTACCAGGTTGGACTGGATGAAAGGACAGTGTCATCCAGTGTCAGAAAATTTTGATTAATACTGTGAATGTGTTTGTTCAGTGGTTTATTAGTTAAATTTACATAAAGTTGCATGTAGAAAAATGATATTAAGAAGGATAAATATAATTACATATGAATTATATTTAAATATGGATTTAGATATGCTTAAAATAGACCCACTGGTGTAAGTGGGACAAGTTAGTCACGACTCATTTAGGTGTAACTAACTTCAGAGTGTGTGGCCTAGACTTAAGTCAGGATGTGAGCCTTTTTAAATACTCCATTTAAAAGAGCAAGCATTCTGTTAGAAAGAGATTTGTCCTCTTAGTGAAAGAGAGTACAGGTAGTCCTCATTTAATGACCACAATTGGGACTGGCAACTCAGCCGTTAAGTGAAGTAGTTGCTAAGTGAACCTGCAACTGTGTTTATGATCTTACTTCAGCTTTGCTTTACAGACCTACGAAGGTCATAAATGCGAGGATTGGTTGTAAAATTACTTTTATATCATCTTTGTAACTGCAAACGCTAAACGAGGCAGTCACTAAACAAGGACTACCTGTAAGTATCTAAGACAATATACACCAATTATGTGTTTCTAACCATTTGTATGGGAGGAAAAAAAACAGGCACAGAGAAGTCAATGCTGGTAAGGAGACTAGATTCAGTACATATTGACTCTTTATGCTATTCAGAATTTTTCTTTTTTAATGCCCTCAGATCCATATACTTATGATGCAGTATCCATCTTTCTAACATACATTTTGAAATGTGGTGTGTCCTTTGTTCTGCTTTGCCCTCCATAAAGGCAAAAGTCCAGATGTTCAAAGCAGGCTATTTTTCCAAATACCAGTGTGCTTCCAAAGGAACTTCAGCTTGCTGGAGTACCTTCGTTCTGTAATACCTCTCTAGGCAATCCATAACAAGTGGATATGTTGCTGACTCAAATTTGTTGGCAAATAAATGAGAAGAGTTAATAATCCATTTTAAGTCTCCAAGACCGTAGATACAAATATCTCTGATGTAATGCCCTGCAAAAGAGAAATTGTACTGTAAATAGATCATTGCAGGCTGGTTACCATTCAGCAAATGAAATATGCTGTAGGAGTTATAGAATAGAATTAGGGGGAGGAGAAGGGAAAGGAATGGCCCTTTGGTTATTACTTTTTACCCTAATTTGCTTTTGATCACAGATATGTCTTTATGTGAAGTGGCCATGTACGCATATGTGTACAAAATGGGGGAATAAGAAGGAAAAATCTATGTGTACAGTCTTGGCTTCCTTTGAAAAAAATTGGGAAGTATAAATATAAATATAGATCAGTATAGAGTGAACAACAAATCAAAGGAAAAAAAAGTATTAGGATTATTCTGTATTACAACTTGTTGAGTTATCGACAAGTAGTCCTTGCTTAACAACTGTTCGTTTAACGATGAACAGTTGTTATGATGGCCTTGGAAAAAGTGCTTTACAACCTATACTTGCACTTACCATTGCACCACCTCCCGCAGTCACATGATCATGATTTGTAACCTTTTTTATGATGGTGGTTAAGCAAATGACCACAGTCATTAAGTGAATTCCAGCAAAAAACGTCCATTGGGGAAACTGGATTTGCTTAATGATGTGATTCACTTAATGACCATCATAAAAATGGTTGTAAAGTTGCGGCCAGACATGTGGTGACTCGCTTAACGGCCACCCCACTTAACAACCAGTTTACCGGTCCCTATTGTCATTAAGCAAGGACTACCTGTAGTCTAGTCTTCCCAGCATTATTTCAGTGGGTTTTTGTGGATTTTATCCATCCTTTCCCATCAGAATGAACAGTCACTGCACATTTTGAGCATCTGGCAGATGACTTCTCAGTGGTTCTTGAACTGGGATTGTGTCATGTTCAATAATTACCTTTGCAGCCATTGTGGGTTTTTCCTTCTTGATTTCTCCACTTGATTGCTCGTATATTTCCTTGCCAAGTTGTGTTTAGTGTAGCACCAGGAGCATCTAAGCAACCAATTTGAAAGCATTGTTATACATGTTTTGCATTTTAAAAAACAGATTTATTTCTTGGATTTATGTATCACCCTTCAATGTTACTGTTCCCAAGATGACAAACAGTAGCGAGCTTCCCTGTAACATAGATTCTTTCTACATTTGCTTGTTTTTAAATATATGATTATACTGCCTCTTAAGGCAATATCTATTCATTAATCCACCATCTTGTCAATCCTGTAAGTGGGCAGCATAAAAACATTGCTAAATAAAATTAATTCTAGTTTAGCTCAATGAAGTAAATAAGACCATTTATGAAGATGTTATTTTTAAACAAACTATGGGCCATGAAAGCTTTTGCAGTAATAAATGTGTTAGTCTTTAAGGTGCCTTAAGGTTTTTGTTGTGGTTAGCAAAGGGTGTGATCATGCAGTTCCAACATAAAAAGAAAGCTCTGAAAATCTGCAAATACGAGTGTGTTCTTTTTTAAATGAGGTGCACAGTTTGAGGTCCCTAGAAAATTTTTGGTGCTGTCCCCAGAACCCTATCAAGTCATTACAAAATTGCATTTTTCTTATGTGTCAACACAACATTAATATAATATAAAATTTAAATTGCTCTGGTCTCCCCTACATTTTGGAGTGCAGTCCTCAGCACATCAATCAAAACTAGTACAGCCTTTGATCTGGGGAAAAAAAGTACATTCCTATTTTAAAACAAGAACGAAATTGCAAATTCTCATTGCACATTCCATCCAGATGGATTTGATGATGCCTGCCCTTGGGGAAACTGCTTCAGGCCAGAGCTATGGCCTTTATTATAAAAACCAGTGACTTTCTGGGGGCTGTTCTATGGAAGGAAAAAAAAAAAGAAAGCTCGAGAGCAGTGTTTCTCAACCTTGGCAACTTTAAGGTGGGTGGACTTCAACACCCAGAATTCCCCAGCCAGCCA